TTTTGTTCCTAAAATCAGGATGGGAGAAAAGTGAAGAACAGGGACAACATTTGCTTAGCACTGGACAGCTACAGCCTGTGTTCTTCATTCACTTCTTACAAAAATCTTGGAGCACGGGATCCTTACTTTTAAAATTATCCTGAATACCTGATAGTGCAAGATCACAGATCATGGGATTAGTAGAGCTGTAACTCAAACTCACGGTCTTTCCACCACCTTTCCAAGGTGATGGTGGACAATATTTATAATTAATGATACATGTATATAAAACATGACATCAGAGACAAGTGAAAGGTAATTTCAAATGTTAAAGCCTGGATTAATAAGGAAATGATAGTGTCTTCAAATTGATAACTGCAATGACTTGGAATACTAAAAGGATATTTAGTGCAATCAGCCCCTCCTTAGAAGCTGTGCCAGGATGATGGCTTCTGCTCACCGCAGCAAACCACAGCCCTGTAAATTTGGCTGTGTCACTTTGGTTTTCTAAGTGTCCATCTGAAAAGAGGAAGAAAACTTTTGCGATCTTGCGTTAGGCAACAATTTGTATGAAACAACCAACCCTACAAGTATGATTTGTGTAATAATAAAATTGAAAATTGGACTTCATCAAAATTAAGAATTTCAGTTTTTCCAAAGGTACTGTTCAAAGAATGGAAAGATAAGATACAGACTGGAAGGAAACATTTGTAAATCACATAATTGATTAAAAAAACTCACATCCGGAGTTCATAAAGAATTTTAAAAATTCAATAATAGGGCTCAGTGCCCATAGTTCAGCAGTTAGGGGGTCAGCCTCATACACTGAGGCTGGTAGGTTCAAACCTGGCCCAGGCCAGCTAAAACAACAATGACAACTACAACAAAAAAAATAGCCAGGCATTGTGCAGGATGCCTGTAGTCCCAGCTACTTGGGAGGCTGAGGCAAGAGAATCCCTTAAGCTCAAGAATTGGAGGTTGCTGTGAGCTGCGATGCCACGGCACTCTGCCCAGGGTGACATAGTGAGACTCTGTCTCAAAAAGAAAAAAACGAAAATAAGAAAGAAAAAGAAAAGAAAAGTGTCTTTTTTTTTTAAAATCGGCAAAAGATTTGAACAGAAACCTCTCCAAAGAAGATACATAGATCACCAATAAACACACAGAAAGATGCTTACCATCATTAGTCATTAGGGAAATGCAAAATAATACCACCACAAAGAGATAACAATACACATCTGCTATGCTAAATATTGGCCAAGATGTGGAAGGATTAGAACTCTCATACACGTGGGACAATTTTATAAAATGTTGCCACTACTTAAAAACCACTTGGAAATTTCTCAAAATGTTAAATGTACATCTGTCATATCACCCAGCCATTTCACTCCCTAGGTTCTCATCCAAGAGAAATGAATGTCTATGTCGATACAAGACTTGTGCATGAATATTCATAACAGCATTACTTGTTATAGCTATATGCTGGAAAATCTATCAACACATAAATGAATAAACAAATAGTGGTATATTTATTGCTTGGTAACAAAGAGGAATGGTGAACTACTGATGAGTAAACTTCAGAACAAGTACACTAGGTGAAAGAAACCAGATTTTAAAAATGTGGATAATTTGATTTTTTTTTAAAAAATCTAAGAATTGCAAAGAATAATGACAGAAAAATGATCATGGTTGCCTGAAGATAGAGAAAGGGTCATAAGAAGAGGAAAGAGGTTGGGATTACAAAGGAATGTGAAGGAACTTTTAATTTTTAATTCACTAACTTCAGTGGGGTAGTGATTCCATGGGTGTGTACATATTCAAAACTTATCAAATTGAATGCTTTAAATACATGCAGTTTATTGTCTCTCAATTATATCTCAATAAATCTGTTAAGAAAACAACAGAAATCAAGACAGAACAATATTGGCACAAGGATAGATTACAACAATATTGGCACAAGGATAGAATACAACTGAGAGTCAGAAAACAGAACCACATTTGTGTGATCAATTGATTTTCAACAAAGGTGTCAAAAAAATCAACAAGGAAAAGATCATCTTTTCAATAAATTATACTAGAAAAACTGAATATCCATACGGGAAAAATTACACATGACACCCTACTGAAAAATTAATTCAAATTGGATTATTGACCTTATGGAAGATCCAAAACCACAAAACTGATAAAAAAAAAAAATATCATAGGGAAAAATACTTGCAACCTAAGTTCAGAAAATATTCTTAGAGGACACAAAAAGTGTGAGCAATAAAGAAAAAAATAATTGACAAATTGCAAATTATTTTTTTAAATTTTGGGGTTTTTTTATTTCCTTGCTTAGTTTTTATTTTTATTTCTTTGATTTTTTTTTTGTTGTTGTTGAGACAGAGTCCCACCCTATGCCCTGAGCAGAATGCAGTGATGTCATAGCTCACTGCAACCTCAGACTCAGGCTGTGGGCATCCCACTGCCTCAGCCTCCAGAAGCTGCTAGGATTACAGGCACGCACAGTGGCACCCAGCTGGGTTTTCTTTCTTTCTTCCTTTCTTCCTTCCTTCCTTCCTTCCTTTCTTTCTTTCTTTCTTTCTTTCTTTCTTTCTTTCTTTCTTTCTTTCTTTCTTTCTTTCTATGAGTCAGGATCTCACTCTCGCTGAGGCAAGTCTCGAACTCCTGAGCTCAAGCAATTCTCCCTCCTCAGCCTCCCACAGTGCTAGGATTACAGGTGTGAGCCACTGTGCCTGGTTAAATTGCAATTCATTAAAATTTAAAATTTTTATCAAAAGATATCATTGAGAAAATGAATGGGCAGGCCACAGATTGTGAGAAAACATTTACAGAACGTGTATCTGACAAAAGACGTGCATCCAGAGTACATGAAGACCTTTGAAAAATCAGTAACAGAAAGGCCAACTACCCAAGTTTGTTTTAAATGGAGGACTTCTGGTACTGGTCAAGACAGAGTAGCTTTATTTCTTCCAAGTATTCAGTCCTACATCTAAAAACCCAGGACATGACTCAGTAAACATTGGGGGGAAGGGTTCTGAAAGATGGAAAGAAGACAGACTCTGTCTGGGGACCTTGGAACCTGAGGAATGACAGTAATGAGTTTCCTGGGTTTTTTTCATTACCAGTGGGAAGATGGAGAAGCTAGGATACTAGGAATGGTCAACAGCAGGCACGGGGAGAAAGCTGGGGTGTGACAGGGAATGGGAAACTCCAAGAAAAGCCTGTCCCTTTTAGCCAAAGTATGAGGGGAAATTAGTTTAACATGAGAGAAAATCTTTTTGACAATATCTGCCTTTCTGTAGCCAAACTCTATGAAAAAACTACCTCCCCTCCGGAACACACATGTACATACACTGATGGCCCCATAGTTTCAGCAGAGATGAGAGGGAATCTAATATTCTACACACCACACACACACACACACACACACACACTCACGCACGCACGCACACACCAGGAGACTCAGGCAAGGACACTCTGATTCCCGGCTGGGGTGGTGTTGTCAGGGGGACTACTGAGGGAGCTTAACTTTCGTTTTCTGCCTAGCAGAAACAGACAGTGCTCTAATTCACCCTCCTGCCTCCTGGGTGGTGGCAGCTGGGCAAAGCAGGGAGCTGAGTCTCCAGGTCCAACCAGCAGGTGGTGGAGTTAGTCTTCAGTCAATTAACAATCTGATTCCATATCCTCTTTTCCTCTTTCTCCTTCCCCTCACTTTGTTGTACTCCCCTGTGCAAGGGAAGAAAAATACTGGTTAAGATTCAACTCTCCACCTATGTTGTACACAGGCATCCATATGAATCTGGGGAGAAAAATGCAAAATCATGCTGTGCTCATGTTACGTTCATGACCAGTAAAGGGCCCCCTTCCCATTGCCTAGCAAATATACAATATCTGCTCAGTCTCTCCCCTTCTCTTTTATATGACTATGACTAAGCCTTTTCTTTCTTCTCAAACTTTCAATATCCTCTTCACATAGCCACTTTTACCTGTTGATTTCACTTTCTTCTTCACTTAGGAAGTAGAAAAAGAAGGGAGGGAGGGAAGAAAGAAGGGAGGGAGGGGAGAAGGAAGCGAGAAAGGAAAAGGATCAACAGAAGATGACATGACATAGGATGATGCCCATGGATCACACTCATATATATATATGTGTGTGTGTGTGTGTGTGTATATAAATTGTACAAATTTATATGTAAATAAATATATAATTTTTTCCATAGTTTATCATAAATATATATTAAAAATTATATATAAATATATAAATAAATTATACAAATGTATATATATAAATTGTACAAATTATATAAATGAGTAAATTTTATTATATTTAATTTTACTTCCATAATTTTTTTTGGTTAATGTTATACCCTCTCCTTTGCACTAGTATTCTAAAAGCAGAATTTAAACTCAATAAAAGGTTGAAAAGTAGACATTATTTTCCCAGAATTTGCAAACAAGACTACTTGGTAGGTATCTATTTGTGATAACTAATCATCGAGAAGAGAAACCAAGGTTTTTACTCCAATGTCACCCATGTCTCTGGTTTCATACCTATGCTAGGTGTTCCCCTATACTTTGAAAACTGGAATACACATGGGAAAATCCAAGTCTTTAACCATTTAGCCTTTTCCAGGTTTATTGAGGGTGTTGAATGACTAGGTGTTGTCTCCAAGGCTTCATTAGCACTCTCTGTAAGAGAGTTGAGTAGTTGCTGCAGAGACCTCATAACCTGGGAAGCCTAAAATATTTACTATCAGACCCTTTACAGAAAAAGTTTGTCAGCCTCTGATTGTGATGAAAAGGAGCATACTCTTCCACATCTGTTCTAAACAGAAATAAAAGAAAGATAATAAAATTGATAAGACATAGTTGTGATGTGTGCACGTATTAAGAAATCTGATAAACAATATTCAGACCACATGCCATTATTTCATAGCTTACATCTGAACAAAAGTATTAAAGTTGGCAATTGTTATCCAAAGTAGCTCAAAGACTTTTTTTTCCTTTCTATCTGTATACCACAGGTTTTATTGGCTCATGAACCTCAACACAACTGTTGTCTTTCTGGGAATATCTTACATTCAGCACTCAGGAGCCTGGGTCCTTGTTTTACTTATTCCTTTTATGTCTATACT